TACAAGATACGGTCAAGGTTTGAGATCACTGGACATTGGATCTTGCGCGCTTTGATTAGTGGCAAGGATGTTTGTTGAAAGGACGTCATATAAATTATTATATTTTGGTAGTACAAGATACGGTCAAGGTTTGAGATCACTGGACATTGGATCAGCAAGCTTGCATTTATACACCATGATCATATGAACTACTAATGATGTTATTTGTGTTTGTATTACTACAGCGACCCTACATGACGTTAGGTACACTACGTGACCAGGTCATATACCCTGATACCAAGGCAGACCAGGATAGAAAAGGAATATCTGATAAAGAGTTAGAAGAATTCCTTACTCAGGTAAATCTAAAGTACGCACATGTTTACTAGATGTACATCCTTACGGGAAGATACACGGGTGGTGCGCACTGCTAATGCGCCGATTCTCGCCAACGAAGTCAGCTTGATCTATGGACCAGCGCTGCCTCCCAAAAACTCATCACAACTTTTTGGGGTCCAGTCTATCTGTCAATTAATGTAATCTCATTTCCATCGCTGGCGAAGCTAAATAAAATAAAAATAAAATACTCTTCTACTATTATCTTCTACTGTCATCTTGCTATGAAGATGCTTCGATTAACGACGCATTTTATGCCAAAAACGTTTTTTTCGGACATGTCAATGAAACAGGATTAGCTTGTCGCACACTATTCGTGTAACGACGCTCGTGATTTTATCTTCACTTCCTTGCAGGTTCAACTGAGTTACATACTGGAGAGAGAAGGAGGATGGAACAGTATACAGGTACGTAGTACAATAACGAATAATATTTACTGGTTAATCCTTCGTTCAATGGCGTTGAGAGATCGAGAAAATAGACTCTGGAATTAGGGAGGAAAATGAAAGGTCACTCGGAACGTCGCTCAAGTTTCGCATAAAATTTTCAAAATTTTACAATTTTTTTTCAAAGAATAGTTTTGGCAAATTTCGTGCAGTGCTGACAAATGCACTCGTCGTTCTCAGTGTTGCACACCAACACAGGGCAACCCATTGTAGTGTTTTCCGGGAAGACGACAGCGCTCAAAGGGTAGAATTTATAGAAAGCTCATTGGTCACTTTTTTCTGACGTGAGTAACATGGTCTTGTTTTCTCAGGACTGGATGGATGTGCTCAGTGGAGGAGAAAAACAAAGAATAGCTGTAAGAAACTTATCTTCATACCTTGAATTGTATATCAAAATTATGTGTGTGTGTTGGGAGGAGAGGGTGGGGGAGAGGGTGGAGGGGAGAAGGTGGGGAAGAGGGTGGAGGGGAGAGGGTGGGGGAGAGGGTGGAGGGGAGAAGGTGGGGAAGAGGGTGGAGGGGAGAGGGTGGGGGAAAGGATGGGGGAAAGGATGGGGGAAGAGGGTGGGGATGACTGGGAAAGATGCTGATGCGTTTATAGATAAGATTACTGACCGATCTTTTGTCATCATGTCTTCAGATGGCGCGGTTATTCTACCATAAGCCACAGTTCGCCATCTTAGATGAATGTACCAGTGCTGTTAGTGTAGATGTGGAAGGGTTCATGTATACTCACTGTAGGGAGGTCAGTATTGATCACCAAATATTTCACGCAGATTTTCAAATTAATAAGACTAGATGTTAAATCCTAATTTTTTAGGTTGGTATTTCATTGTTCACGGTCTCTCACAGGAAGTCCTTATGGAAATATCACGAGGTATGTAGTACAGCTATGATGATGGTGATGGTAGTGATGACGGTGATGGCGACAATAATGGTAATATGATGATCATGGCGATGATGGTGGTGATGGTGGCAATGATAATGATGGTGATAACGTTGATGATGATAGTGATGAGGATGATGATGGCGATGGTAGCAATTATGATGATGGGGATTCTACTAAATAGTTATCTATATTAGTAACGCAATCCAAAGTTTACAGTTATACCCTTGAGTATTCCCAAAGCATTACGCAACATTTGTCTTGATTGTTGTTGTTGTTGTTGCAGTACGTGTTGTACATGGATGGTCGTGGTAGTTATCAGTTCAACCCGATGGACAAGACATCCATTGACTTTGGATCCTGAAGTCACGTGTCTGCATGCAATCGAGTCTGAGAGGGCAACATGTAAATATCTGTGTGTTACGTCCTCGTGTGGATCAATCATTATTGCACTGTAAAAATGTGTACTATTTCATGTGCATTGGTTTATAGTTTCACCTGTTTTATTTATCAATTAATAATTTAATGATCTACACAATCAATGAACAACAACTTCCATTCAATCACGACAAAATATTCCAACACTTTAGGCAAAAATCGCTAAAATATCCGCTAAATTTTGACCAGACGTGTAAAAAGTTCGGGTCTAGTTTCGACTTTCCCTTCTGAAAAGTTGAACATCCGATTTTTTTTGGTTTTTCTCAATGGCCGAGACTTGCAGTCGTTACCTTTTGGTTCATACGTCTTGTACTAGTCGTCGTGGGTGTTTTTATGGTGATCATATAAATACGCTCCTCTCCTTAACCTTGGCTTCTGCCAGGTCCAAACACCTGACCCATCCCTCCCACCTTCTTGTGATGGTATCTACAGTTTTGTACACAATGGTTTCCATGGTAACAGGACTTTGGTTCCTTGGTTCAGCTCAACGCATGAAGCAAGTGCTGCCGGAAGAAAGTCAACGATTTCGTTCGTAGTTTTTAGAAATAGAATATGATAGAAATTCAACCCAATTTGTAATGTTGATGCTTTTATTAAATATGTTGTACTACTATAGGGCTGTAATGTTATCGGTAGGAAACCATTTAATAAGTTAACAATAGTTGAATTATATTTCAAGAGTATACAAGATGATATATTGATGATCTGCAGTACTTAATAAATAACGTATGACTAACAAACTATCTGTCAGTCCTTCTCTTTCACAGTCAATACATGATACCTGATGCCTTTGTTGAAAGGAAATCATTCGTGCTTCTATCACTTTGATAATACAAACATTCACTAATTATATTTCCTTTTAGAGTTGGAGGAAGAGACCCCAGAAAAGGGTTTCCTTCAAGGCTGTTGGATTCTCATTGATTCAAGCAGCCCTAGATTCTCCGCTCTGGGGTATAACTCACTAATTATTTCACTAAACTTAGAAGTATGTCTGAAATCTCTTTGAAATCTTCTTGAATCAGACCAAGACTGAGAACCAAAATCCTCCTGTACGTAAAAGACCTTATCTACTAGTAAATTGTTTTCTAATTTAACTGGAATTAAATTTTCAGTATATTAACTGTTTTGCAATTTCTCTGTCTTAAATTTTGAAATATTATATATAATTGAGGTACATATATTTGTGAGATGCAATTTGAATAGTTTTAGTTATTTCAAATATGATATTCGATGAAACCGGTTATTCTTGTGAACAGTCTTCCTCATCCAACATGACGGCGATGACGTCACATTCAGCACAGAGTGACCATGGAGAATGTAACCCGGCCTCTTGATACCGTCCTATGATTCCTTTTCGCTTCAGCCAATATCAGGTTTGAATATTCTCGTATTTTTCTTACTATATTGTAGGAATTAATCAATTTTCTCTTGGTCCATACCGATAAACATTACAGAGGTGACAAACTTGTGTCAGTGTTGAGTATCTAAACGATTCGTCCAAGCTGTCTTATATATGGGATCAGTTTTTTACAACTTATTTACATTCCACTGAATAAATAAATTATACTTGCTTCATAAATCATAATATTTTGTTTCTACTCATTAGGCTAGTGTGTAACGATAGATGGGTGTTTTCCTACCATCTGTTACTCTAAACTGTCATGTACTCCATTAATAATGTCATTGTGTTACTAACAGAACGGGATGTTAGTTAGTGCCGATACGATTGTCTTCAGTCCCTGTTGATGGCTAAATAAAGTAACCATACAGAATCCTTCAACAGTATATGTGCTGTACATGATAGATAAGTATTTGTAGTGTTTTCCATCTTACAGCACTTTATATTCACAATTCAACGCATCTTCAGTAAAATCTAAACATTTTCTGTTTTTCATTATTGTCTTGCCTTGAGAATATCCAATCCTTGATCTGTAAGTTTCATTGCAAGTTTCTATCCATCTTTGTAGATATTGCACCATTGTATAATATAATCAGTATCATGTTACTTGTTCAATGATGCTGGCCAATAAGACGACGACCATCTTGCATAGTTGGTCAATACTACGTATATATATGATATAAGTACACCTCCATGCATGTAGTATGTACTGTTGCATCACTGTAGTTTATTGTACATGGCAACTTGCTTCACCCTTCCAGAAAGTGTATTATACTTGTGGGAAACACTTTATATTTCGTAGGAACCAGAGGTGGTCCAGCTACGCCCTCCGCTTCTTCATTTGCTATTTCCCAATCCTTTTTGGACGACTCTGTTCCAACCTGTAAAATAGTTTACTTGATTGTTATGAAAGCAGATACTTTTAGGGAACAAGTTATTTCAGCAAGTTATCAGTAGAGTTTATCTTTACAGTATATTCAGTTGCGCTAGATGATTTTCAAACCTAGTTTATCGGTACCCTGAAACAACTTCTTGGCTGATCAAAGTCAGGGCACGGCTCACTAACAGATCGATAGCGTGTTGGGTTTTACAGAGGGAGGGAAACCGAAGAACTTGGAAAAGAACTTCAAGGAAAAAGACCTAAAATTGTAATGTCAGGTAGCGACCCTTAAAATCCCAAAATCCCTTCTATTTACGCTAAGCATTTTCTCTTTCAAGTATAAGATTGTCTCTGCCCGTTTCTTCTCAAGAGTTGGGCAAAACCAGAAATTAATACTAAATGAAACGGGAGGCCCTGAATGTAAAGCCGTTAGGACGTGTTGTAGAAGTACCTACCTATTTGACTTGGGTGTGTTCTTCTAGGTCTTCAATAGTAATCTCTCCATACTGGATCTGACCTGCTGCTTGAGTCGATCTATGAGACGACGACTGTACATTATCCTGAACGCGTTCACAAATCGTCCTTTCATTGGGAATTTGTTCCGCATGTACCTGAACAGTAACCGTAGCTGTTGCCGTTACCCTAGCAACAACAGAACTAGAAGATTCTAGATCATACGTCACTCGTGATGCCCGCGGTGAACTGTTAGATTTATTGGCATTAGACGCATGAACGCGCCGATTGTAATGTCTTTCACCTCTTGGTCGTTTACGATGATGATGCCGGCTATTATCAGTCTTATCGTCTTGTTTGCTGTTATGGTAACCTGAGGTATCCAGGATGCAAACCTGCGAGTCAGTAGGAGGTGTTCCTCTTCTACATGATGACACTGGTAGAAGTTCACGTTGGGATCCTGCTGATGATGCGGTGCCTGGTGGCCGTACTGCTTCCACCTGGAGGGACAAACAAACAACATTTACATTCAATATCGTTTAATAACTTCCGTTATATTGGATGGTATTCAAAAGATGACACCAGTATCAAGGAGTATTTGGTTGACGAAATGAATTCAAAAACTAGTCAGCTTGAGTCTGTTTTTCGTGTCACAAGTATGCTAAAAAAAAAGATCACTTGACGTGCAAATCCTATCGGTCATGTGACGTGTAAGTCCTTTTCAGTCACGTGACGTCCCAGTCCCATCACGTAACACATCAGTCAGGTGGATTAAAAGAAAGTCCATACCATATCATGATACCAACGGGCAGTATTTTTCAAGGAGGGTGTTGTCATGTATACTCACCTCTGGCGCAGGTCCTGCCATGGACAAGAAGACAGGGAGTAATACTAAACCATTTGTAACTCCGATTACGATCAGCGCACAAAGAAGATGAAAGAAATATCTGTAGAGAACAAATATCAAACTTGAGTTTCATTCAGGAATCACTGTGTATATTATAAGTATGGTAAATAAGGTGGAGTAACTAGTTTTGTAAGTACTTTGCACTATGTAAATAATAAATAGTTGGTATCCCTTAGCTCCAACATTACTTCTTCAAAAAATATCAGAAACACAGCTACACTGACTAGAGAAAAAGATCAAGAAAGTAGTGGTTGCTTAACTATATAATCGAATAATGAGGCGTCGTTGAGTATATTTACTGACCTAACGATGAAATCGAAGTCAGAACCAGCTAGCATCACGACACCCAAGAAGGTCGAAACAGCTCCATCCAATACAGGAGAAAACACTTGTTCAATTGCCTTCTGCATTCGAATGTTCTTTTCACCTGTTGCAGATAAGAATGCCTGAAAAAAGAAATCATGGTCAGTCACATTGGCTTTCTCATTCCACAACATGTGCCTTACATCCAGTCAAGTCATTACGCGGCTCAGGTAAAAAGGCGGGAAAATTATGACCCCATGTTTTATTTCAAGTAATTTCATTGGATGAACGGCTTTTTCTCATTCTGATTGGTTCGATAAGGAAGCCATTCCGGTGTTGACAGATTCTCAAGCATTGTGATTGGATGAATGATATATTATCGCTCTCTGCTTGGTTGAAAGTGGAGCCAATTCACTTTACTCACCAGACACATGTGAACTGTAAACTCGACACCGACTCCCACAGAAAGGATAAGAGTAACAGCAGGAACTGCGCTTAGTTTGATCCCAGTCAAACCCATGAAACCAAATACTTGTACTGTTATCAAGGTAAGAGCGAGAACCTGAAAACGAACATACAACATTGACATTCCATAAAACCACTTTCTTGTACTATATTATCATGGCAAGAACGCACCAAAGCAAGGTCCCAAACCACAAAGCAGCAAAAACAATTCAGTCTGCTGTCCTTAAGTCAGAACTCAAGTCAGTATTTTCGACGCTGTCATGAGCTATGACCATCAGAAGTTCACGTACAAACCTTGGCATGGTTGCATAACACTCTCTTTGGATAAGAGCAACTAGAGAGCTTTATGTAACTGGGCCTAGGAGAGCAACTCCTAAAAAACACTCGATGACTTACGATAATGGCAGCAGCCCACAGGTTACATAGGACGATTACCATGACGATGAAGCTGACTGCAAGGATGACAATGATGGCGATAAAAAGGTTGTGTCTTAACCAAACGTACTGTTCCCAGAAGGTGAAGGGTATTCCAGATGGATACGTTGATAAACCTTTCTCTTTGAACTCGTCACATATCTCACGAACTTCCTGTAACACATCAATAACACATCCCATGAGTTGACTGTAAGACAAAAGGGTTCTCCTCTAATGTAATAATCGTGTCCATCCTTCCATTCCATTACCCTCTTTTCTTTCCATCCTTTTTATTCAATCCAATCATGTTATCTTCAACCTACATGTTCACTCCCTCCTTACATCCTTCCATTTCATTTCTCTACTTTCCATCCATCTTTTTTTGTTCATTACAGCGTTTTTCTTTCTTCAACTGTTACCTTTCTTTTCTCCTTCCATTCCATGCATTATTTTCATTCATTCCAATTATATTATCTTCATCCTGTGGGTTCACTCCCTTCTTCCATTCCCATCCCTCCCTCCCTTCCATCCATCCATTTCATTCAGATATCAGTAAACTTCAACTAAATGTACCTTGATAACCTTGACGAAATCTGCTGTGTCTTTCATGTTGACCAAGTAAAATGGCAGCTGTGAGAATTCTAATGGTTCGGCAGGCTCGACTGGTGAAAACAATTTGATTGATTGGTTACAGGAACCGCCATCAGTACGACATAGGCATTACCTTCAATGCCTATATGGTGTAAACAATCATTATAGTAATATAAGTATAGTAAGAATCTTACTTTTCATGTTTCGAGGTTCTTTTGAGTCTCTGTTGTTGTTCCAGTTGCTTGGCTTTGGTCTAACATTCCCCTAAAATCAAGTGCAGTACATAAAGGTTATCCAGATGTTGCTCTTCGTAACACCGTTCTTTTGCCCGCTCTCCCCCCACCCTGAAGATAGACAAAGGAGACTGTTAGGCTTGCATCTTGGCAAGTTTGTTATGAGAATTTTTTCGAGTTCCCCAATCACCACTATGTTACTTGATTAAAGACTCGGAGACAACCCTCGTGCAATGCCAAAATATGCAGCAAAACCAAGGGTAAAGTAAAGAATGCACAACTTCAACGATACAAACATTTTGAAATTCCACGGACCTTCACTAGAACGCTTGAATATTCTCAATTCTAAAGTTGAGTCTACTTCCGTTGAGTCGCCGATTTTCCTCTGACCACAAACAAGAATACATAAGGATGGATATAGAAGATCTTGAACCTACCTGTGACGCCGTGTACCCCATGGTATCCACGTTATACCACACAGTCAGGTAGTGATAGAACACTTGAGGGCGTATGATACCTTGATCATCAACAAGGCGCACGGAACGAACTTGAGATCTATTGACAGGATAATTTTCATTGCCTGTCTGTGCCAACATCTTGTAACCAAGGATACCACTGTCGCTTGCATTTTCGTACCAACCAGAGTATGTTATGGTTCCTGATGCCCATTCTTCATCGAAAGACGTCTGAACATCTGTCAACACAAGAAACAATGACGGAATTATAAGACTGGTTTTTTAAGGGGAACCTCCCTACACTGGTCCAGGAAACATAAATACCTTTGAGCCAGTCACGAAAGTACATCAACCAAAATGGCTGCAGTTCCATCTCGGGTGTCTTTAATACATTCGATACCTGTAATGAATGTGAAGAGGAAAAGAAATGAGAATTGGAACAACAAACAATCTTGGTATTGAGCAAGAACAACATTGCGGGTGAGTAATGAAGTACTGAAGCAATGATATCGGTCAAGCTATTGATTTGGACGAAGATAAGGGTTAATTAAGTGACCAGTACATACTCGTTTGAAAGCATCATGGTACTCGTACATCAGATTCTGTTCTTTGCTGTAATCAAAGTTTTTCATCGTGACAGCAAAGATGGAATAAAAGGAGAAGTACATGTACTGAGCCGTAACAAACTTGTGCTCTGTGCTGTTCTTGGGGACCAAGTCTGTCAAGTCCAGTCCATCACGTACCAACAGACACCCGTAAGCACCAGCAACTAACATAGCGATGAACAGTAGTATCACAACAGTCTGCTCCAAAGAGAAAACACAATACACATCAGTATACAAGAAAAAAGTCATGTGAAGAAAAAGAAGACGATGACATGTAGAACATTACAAACCTTTGTGGAAGGCTTCTGCAGGAAGGGTCCATAGTAGTGTTTGGCGAAGTATGCAAGAGATAAAACTCGTAGCTTTTTTTTCATTTTCACCCATTTTGAGTCCATCATTTTGTTATGTGATGAATTCCTTGAAGAATCGCGTAACGATTGATCAGAACTGCGTCCCACAGGCCGAGAATTGTGTTCTATTGTTCTAGTATTTACATTATTATTCCTTGATACGTGCTTCTTGGGTTTCTCTTTGTTATCGTAACGTACAGTATTGGTTCTGTTAGGTACTACAACGTCTATGTTTGTGTCAGTGGGATGTTCACGTAATGTGCTTCTTTCAACGCGACAACCAGCACCCACGGCGGTTCGCCCATCTCCTGCACTTACAGTCAAAATATCTTGGCTGTTGAGTCCGCTTACCGATAGAGGAAGTATCGTGTTACACACTGAATTACCTCCATTACTTATTTCAGCAACAGCAGAAGCCTGTACTGTAACAGCCCCAGGAAGAGAAACTGTCCCCAGCGCAGTAGCTTGCATATTACCAGGTAATACAACAGCGCCTGCATTGACACCAGAATTCGTTACAGACGACAACGAGCTGCACGAGTTGTGGAATCTACGAAGGACCATTGCACTATCTGTTGTTGAGCTTGGTGTGATTGAGATCCTTTGAGGTACATCCCTGGACAAATAAGAAATCATATAGATTAGAGATATATCAATCTACTTCTCAGTAGCAGTATACATTCCTTGATCGATAGGAGCGCGTGGCAAGGCAGTTCAAAATGACTGATTATTCAAGCTAAAGAACTAACAAGCTCTTGTTTGAGAATGCAAAATGTGATGCGCTGAGACAGAATAAGTAGTCGGAACGGTTAGTAGGAATGTCACAAGTATAAATGATGTGTCAATAAATTAGAACTGTTTTTACCGACAGATTGAGGAAAGACTGTACCTTTGTATGCAGCAGCATAAGTCGTATCTTTGGTCTCGTTTTCTTTTCACATCGATGGCGATCATCGCAGGAAAAACGATGATAATCGCAAAGTAGTTGAACATCACGATAACAGCTGCCTGTAAAACAAGAATATGATAAGTCAATCCTGTGCTATTTGTAGGCATATCATCGACAAGAACAAAGAACATTTTTTTCGATGACTGTTCTACAAGATTGACTGAGAAACTGATGAGATACCATAGCACTCAAATGGCTTCCACCCTGAACCAATCAAAGGTCATAAAAAATATCAACCAAACCAATCACTGCGCTTGAATTTGGAAGCCATTTAACAGTGACGATGATGCAAGGTTAAATATTTTACCTGGAAGGAGAAAGCCCTTAGGGCTGGGATTGGAATGATAACAGCCATGAGGAACGCTACCATGTTGTTGAAGGATGTCAGGAAGATACTGACACCAGTACGTCCTAAAGTATATCCAACTTGATCCTGGAATAAATCAACAAATACATCGTCAATAACATGTTTTATCGCTTAGACAAGAACAGATATTCGCCACAGTCCCCTAGATTAAATGCGGGCCGAGGAAGACTGGTGAAGAATTCGTTTGGCAAGAAATTGTAGGAGTTAATAAGACTCGAGCAAGCATAGCCCATAATACCCTGCGGAAAGGGTTCCGTATCACGTGTCAGACTTACTGAAGGATGGATTTCACCACGTTCTGAAATCGAAGCATAAGTATGTGCCAACAGAAACATGTCGTCTACTCCAAGACCGAGAGCAAGAAAAGGCAAAACCTGCAAATAAGAAGAAACCAAATAAGAGGAACGCATAAGTAAATAACACATAACGAACCAATCAAATTACGAGATATCGTACATCAACCAATCACAATGCTTCAATATTATTCTTAGATACCAAGAGTCTATTAACACATAGTGCGTGGGTTACCTGTGTGGATGAAGCATTGAAGGCAATTCCACAAAATGTACAGAAACCAAGTCCAGATACAACAGCTACGGTTACCAAGACAACGCCAGCAACCCCTAAAGCACCCTGGGATTGCACTGCGTTATTCCACTTCTTTAAAGTCAAACCCGAGTAGATGAGCTGGAAGTGAAGTGAAAACTTGTTACGTCACAATACAATTACAAATGTACAGTAGAGATGACAGTTTGCATCGCCTAGACCCCGTACATATTTCATCAAACCGTTCAAAAAGTCTAGAGAATCGTATCAATATCCACGTTTTCCCTGCCAAGGTGCTTTGACTAGTTATAGTCGAGTTGTAGTTCAAAGGTGCTGCAATACGAGACATAAATATCATAATATCCACGTACCATCAGCACATATCCCATGGCAAGGCGGACAGTGCTTGTCTTGGAGAAATCTTTCAGGAGTTCGTTGAAAGATGCTGACGTGAAGGCCAGAATACTGAACTCTTCCTCGGTCTCATCGGTCACCTCGTTCATTACCTGGAAAGTGCAGCAAAAATAAATGAGACATTTGATCATTGGTAGAGCTGATTTTGCTTAATTGAGAAAATAATTAATAGGTCTAGGGTGTCGTGTTGTGACTATGACGTTGCGCGCTATGATTGGTTCAACGATTACTTCCCTACCGTGACCGTGTCGTGTTTTCATAGTCAAAGGGTTTTTTTTTTGAGCTGGTAAAATACCTTGGTGAAATTCTTTTGCCATGTCTCCAGAACCTCCCTTGCGATGTCAACATTCCACTTATAAGAACCATCTCCCTTCCAGTATCTATCTTGATGGTAGTCGTAAAGGTTGTTTACGCCCATTAATAGCACTACACTCTGTAGAGCTGAAGCACTGCAGACACAAAGAAAATACTCATTAATTATCAAAGCTGTGATCTGCGCATCCAGCATGGTCTATCACTGGTGCTCTCATGATCATCAAGATGAATGGGAAGAATAAGCAACAGTGCTGTTACATGCTACATCATGCATAGTGTTCTGCGCATCCAACAAACATATGTACTAGAAGCAGTAGTATGTCTACTCTCGATCACTTGACTAGTCAGGAGGATAATCGGCAATACACTAACTCACTCTTACTCATTGCATGATAGAAGATAATGACTGAGAGACATTGAAGGAATACCAAACTGAACACCTTACCTTCTAATCGTTCCTGATCGGTTCTTAATGACACCACCCACAATAATCTCTTCAGGCCACTCCATAAATTTAGCAGCGAAACCATGGCAACCACCTGTTAATTCGGCACCGATGTCTGGAACCTAATATTGATACATTACTGCACATTAGTATTTGATATACGAGTCTGGGGGGAGGGGAGGGGGGAGAGGTAGGGTCGCGGGAAAACTGAGATGAAACGTGAAGCCAAGAATGAAGGGGAGACACGTGGCTTAGCTATGCACGCATAAAGTTTACAGTATAATGAGATCATTAAAAGTGCCATCTACTCATACCTCCTTTGAATGAAAGTTCGGTGCTAATCTGGGACATCCGGGATCTTTAGGGTTGAGACACGGCTTCTCTAAATATCCAGTGGTGATACCAGCCTGTTGACAACCATACAAACCCGTTAACCTTGCAAGAAGGCCTTAACATGTCAAGGTAGCGTGATAAAAACCTCTTGTCTGACTACATTATGATCATGAATTACCACGATGCATGGAAGAAAATGTTACAGATAGATCGTCATAATCTTTGTGGCAGCCTTCTCGTTGACCCTGTCCTTCATTCTTTTGGAGTATCAACAAAGGTATGGACCATGATCCCTGGAATTTTATCTTTGTTTTCCAAGAAAAACGATTTTTGATTACAATTTAATTATATTCAGCCTTTGCTGAACTTTCTGGGGAGAGAGAGAGAGAGAGAAAACAAAACGAAAAAACAAACAAACAAACAAAAAACAAACAAGAAACAAAACAAAAACAAAAACAAAAAAACAACAAAAAACAAACAAAGACGATAAAATTTAACGTGATATCGAAATAAAGCGAGTCTTTGATAATGCTCGAATGACAGCTAAAAACCACGAATAGGTTTTCCTTGTGACGTTGATTATTGAATGACGAATTCCTTATGAGATTGTTATTCGTTACGATTATTTTGGGAAAACGAAACTGAAGATTTTAAGTGAACCTCCGCACTGATATACCCAGAAGAAATCGTACAAGACCGCGTTACAGATGAAATCCTTTTGCGAAAATCTCAACAGTGCCACGACGATGCAGAAAGAGATGATAGATCGATTGAATGCCATGAATTGTTGCTGATGAAATTGTAGTTATTCTTTCTCGTTACCTCCTTGAACAATGTACGGAATTTCTTCATCTCCCAAGAACTAAAAGATTCCTGGATCTTGTTCAGCAGGTCGATTGGATTTAAATCGGTCCATTTGAGGTAACTTCTCTGTGAATCATCCCTGTAAGAAGGAGACAACGAGAGGTGGATTCATTCATGTGTGACTGGCATCTCAACGACATAAAGATACACTACACAATACGAATAGCAAGAAAAGTTCGAAAACGAGGATTGAAAAAAAGGCGATAGAAAAGGAAAGTAAAATGAAAAAGAAGAACTGAGAAAGAAACTAGTAAAACCAGAACAGGAAAGAAGGGAACTGTGAAAACAAGAAAGGAAGAAAGGAAGAAAGGAAGAATGAAGGAAGGAAGAAGGAAGAAAGAACGAAGGAAGAAAGGAAGAATATGAGTGAAAGGATAGAATTGAAATGAAATCTATCAATAGCTTACGGTAAAGTCATGTCTATTTCAGGCCCATGAACCTTTGCACCCTCCCAGAAACAGTCCATCGGCGTTATGATGGTACATGGTATTAGATGATGCATTATCTGAAACAGAAAAAAAAAAACTTATTCAAACGTTACCAAACCACGAGCTACAACATTACAGAACACACTACACTAGACTCACCTCCCCTAACATGCTATTGTAAAAGAGTGGAAAACTAGGAGCATAACACAGATCCTTGAGAGACCAATCTCTGCAAATATCAAAATGCTGGTTAACAGAATAAATGTCTGACAATCTTTGCAAATATCAAAATGCTGGTTAACATAATAAATGAGTGCGTCAATGTTGAAGACAAATCCTGACAAACTAGTGGTTTAATATACTGATGGAATTTACCTTATTATAACTAATATTGATCTACACGTAGAGATACATACGCGCTGTAGAATCTTTATAGATACTACTGGTAGAATAGACCTGAGTTTATTAAGAGTCATATAAATCCTTTTCCTATGAGACATCAATGCGCATGCTTAAATATGCCCTAGCGGTATACAAATACATAGAAATCACTTTACCTATTAGCAACATGGACTTTGAGTTTTGCTGCTTGCTTGAGCGCCTTTTGATGCAGCAACATGGCTTCTACTGTAAGAATATTTGTTCCTTTAGAGTTTGGTGTTTGAATCACGATTTCCTGTGTGCTACCGAATTCTTTCCCAAGTGCAGCTTCGGTATAGCGCAGTTCTCTTTCTAATCTTCCACCGGCTGCAAGAACAATCAAACGAACACATTAAGTCAAGGAGTATAAGGTTTATTATCAGCAATATTATCAATTAATCCACGGGAAATCATTTCATAACAGGGACCTTCAAGTCAAAACTATCTTTAAAACTATTAATGCATTATCAACAATGCTAAGTATTTATGTTTCCAATGTCTACAGACTAATGTGTACGTTTCGCGCGAACCAGATTCATTAATGAACTTATGTAAACACAGAATTGACAGAGATTACTCTGGTTGTTGGTTTAGTCAACTAGAGGTGACCAAAGAAGCACTAATACCATTAAATGAATATTTTCACTTCAAACACTAGTATTTCTTCATCAAACTAATCACGTTGATTAAGATACGAAATGTTCTCTCAAAATAGGACTGACCAGTCTAAAGATGGGATAGCGGGGATCTTCACTTCATTGGAAGGGGAGGAAAGGTTGGAAGGGTATCTTTAGTGATGGTAGACTGGATGGGACAAGATAGAGAAAGAGAGGTAGTTGGTGACGGGTTTGGTGAGGTAAGGGCTGGTGCATATTGTGGGTCAGCTATGTTTATGGTATGGTTGTGGTATGGGTTGTGTAGATCTAGTTTGGCCTTCGGAGCTAGACGTCCAAGGTTCGATCCTTAGGATCTTCACGTCTGTTTCGACTTTTCTCTAATCCGTGTAGCTTCAGCTTTGAATACTCATAAAACAGAGAACTGATGGAGAGAGGGGGTAAAGTGCGCACCGTCGGCTTCCATTGATAGCAGTTGAATTTCAACTGAAGGAACTACCGACGTTAAATATAGGTCCTTAATCCTTAGTCTAGAGGCAGTATGGACAAGCAAAGCGTGCGTTAATATCACTATGGGGTTTAAACCATTTTTATCCACTACAAACCACACTCGGTATTTACAGCAATGGAAATACTTTGGAAAGCATTAGCAAATAAATACCTCACATTAAGAGAAACGACCTCAAACAAGAGCAAGTGTGTTTCGCCTCAAGGCAAGACTAAATAAACACGAACTAAGTCTGAATCAAGCTCGTCAAGTTCACTTTGCATGTGTCAGTTGTTCTAGACGATTCGTGACCTGGATTTGATGGGGACATATAAAAAATAAGAGTTCTAATTTAGTTAGCGATGAGCTCAAAGGTGATGGTTTTCTTTCAAATATCTTAGATATCCGATATCTTTACGAGCGAGAGCCGAGCAACATCTTCTCAATTCACTTTAGTTTTGATCTAAACACATCTCAAGGTGCTCTCATATGCCGCAAAAGAGAGACTCTTATTACCTCTTTAAAAGCACTATCTAGGTCTATACAACTTGAGACAAATGATGATGTCGAATTTTGTCATTATCGAGAAGACATTTGGATCGCAATTGGAGTTGCCAACAAATCTGCAACATGCTGATTTGGCACGATAAGCTAAAACACTTTCCTGGGCTTTACATTTATGAATACACACATGAATTTAAAGAAGTGTTCTTTGCTTGGGACTTGCTAGAGGAATGTTGTTTGGCGGTCAGTGAAACGACACGGGGTCATTTTTGACTTGATCTCTTCTTGTAACATTAGTTCTATTTTTGGACAAATTAACCGGAACTCCACCAAACGGCTAGTAAAATGATTACAAAATGTACTAATGAAATAATAGCCCGAGTAACGTTAGTTAAAGGGCTGTGTACGAACGCCACAAGTATGTACGAGAATATATCTTAGTATATTTGAAAAAAAAAGGTAGATGAAATAGCGAAACGGTTCTAGTTATGAAGAAATATGATCTGGACGAACGAAGCCATAAAGTATGGCAGTTCTAGCAAGTGGATATCGACTATGTACGCCTGCTTGATTATTGATTATCGACGGCCTTACGGAAAAGAAGTTCAAGAATAATAGGATATGTGTGATTTGAGCAAAGAAAAACACAAAAAACCATCAAGGATCAACTTAATTGTCTGATTGTGAAATGAGAGTCGATATAAAGTATTACTAGTGACAACAGCATTGTTTATACGGGTAAAGACTATTGCATATTCATCTGTTCTAATATGCCGCAGTCTTTACTCTAAATGCTTATAGAACAAGCATGGAAATCAAGCGGTTGCCATAGCTAAAATAGAAGGATAATACGCTATTTTCATGCCGCAACAGAACAATAACAATACCAGCTACCAAACAAAACAACCCTGTTTATTGATCTTACTATAAGCAAACAGCAATACGACTCCTTACCAGAACTTCTGTCTACTGAACCTACTTGAGCGAGCTTAGCAGTCAACTTACCTTCGACCCATAACTTCTCTGCATTCGTTTCTAGCTTTGCCCGTGATAATCCAATGGCGAAGATAGACATTACCAGAAATCCAAAAAGAACAATTTTTCCACAATGACGCTGAGACAGGCATCCGATACTAAACAAGGCGCTCTGGATACGCGAGCGTATTTTTAGCGCTAAGCGGTTACCTCTCGCACGACCCTATATAACAAGAACAAACAAGAGTAAACGCATTAAAATATAATATAAAAAACACATCCACATTCTTGACTAAGAAAAATTCTAGTCTTATTTTTCGTGCACTACATCATGAACTGGCTTTCGTCATTGACTTTCCTTCGCTCATTCTTATAACAGAAATATTTCCCCCCTCTCCTTGTAATTCCATCGTTTGCTCCAATATCCTTTATTGCTCTCTTTTGTTGCCTGTATTTACTCGAAATCAAGCCTTATTTAAGTTTTGACATCAGAAAACATTATCCATGTAAGTTGTTTGCAGATATTTGCATTTAACTTGGAAGAGTTAGCAGGCACGTGCCAGGTAAGACCACCCAACTGCCGTGTTATGTTATGAAAGCCGAGGAAAATATTGCTTTAGAGTCTGGATAGGAAGAGGGCGAGGCGAAAAGACAGGGCTTTAAAATCCAAGGATATTATGAATATCTCTGAGCTTGACTACAGCGTTTTTAAACCATTCCATCTGTATAGATACTGCATTTACTCGAGAAGAAAACCGACTTTTAGTGGCGCTGTTTCTCATTTCTATCTTGTGCGCTCATGTGTAAACACATCTTAACTTGATCTCTGTTATTACAAGCCCTAGTACAGAACTCTGCCGCCTTACATCAATTCGGCCTTTAAGCCCTGCTTGGAACAGCACTTAGTACTAACTTTGAAATACACCAGAACTGATCTACTTTACACCGTGTACTTTAAAATTGAGTGATTCATCACCAACTGAATAGAAACGCCAAGAAAACGAGCAAAACGTCGAAGATTAGAGTATAAAACGGCTGTTTGTGCCTTTGACTTGGCTTAATCTTTGTTCCATTTTGGTAATTATACTAAACGAGGTGTTAGATCCTGGTTCTGGTGTTGCTAATACCTAAGCTGTGAGGAATTTTCCTAACCGCCAACGAAGCTTGTTTAAATCTTTCTTCGTGAACCTGTGCAAAGTGAGTAGAGTTCAATCCACGAACAGAAATATGTGTACTTAATGCACGACCTCCCTGTAGAGGCTCGATTCCATTCGTTTCCCTAAGCGGTTAGCGATATCTGATTCTAAGTTCGATTTGCTGAAAGTGTATCAACGCTGCTCATTATGATGGTTTTACTTTCATTAGGGTTCTAAAACTGACTACAAACCCTAACATCTACAGCAACAGAATGCATTACAATGACCCCAAATACCAACATAACACTTTTAAATAAAGAATCTAGGAATCCGTTGGTCAGATAATCAGTAGACTTAGCAGAAACCAACGTAAACAATATGAGTGCAATCTAAGACGCTACACGGCAACAGTTTCATGATGTTCTCTGTACGGGACGACAGCTAAAATATGAAAGCTATGCCCTTATGAAAGCCTCGAGTAGTTAGTATTAACCAACCTCATCGATATCTTGAAGCACTTCTCTAGCCCATGTGTAGTTTTCAGGAGTCGAACCACTCATGCTGTCCACGGAAGGTCGATATTTGTCTTCGTTCCACGCGCTCAATGTAGAGCTTCAATCCAACACTATAATCACTGCCAAAAATAACCATGTAATCTTTCCAATTCGCCTCCAAATCCAAGTTAGATGTGTTGGTCGAGTAAAGATGTTGTTCTTTGGAAGAAATGAGCCTTTTGTGATGTAGATTCCATAGTTTGTGAGTTGCACTTAGCATAAATGTGCAGTTCCCCTCAGAATGTGTAACATGACCGCTTAGTCAATGCTCCAGAAAGCTAATCTCTATACATTTGGACCTCAAAACGTCACTAACGCGCTGTGATTGGTTGTCGCCAACGAATTAGTCATTGGACTTCTACACAGGTAATGAATTAGGCCTTTTAGGGACCACACACCACGCGTTGACCAACTTGTCAAAATTACAAATGTGTATCGACTAAAGATGCGAGATTGCAAGAACAATAACCGACAAGATGACGAGAAAATGGCTTCAAAATTACGTCAATCCAAACACAACTAGACTGGAAGTAACGCTTTATGCTTCTCTTCGAGACTTAGAAATGAATCTAAAGGTGAATGTATAGATGGATTGAGGTAGAAAGGGTTTTTTTAGGAAGGTATCAAGATCTGTCAGAGTAAAGGTATCGATGAAGAGTAACGTCAACAACATATGATGGCGCCGGTGTGTGCGCCGGAAGGCAAACCATCTACTCATTGGACGGTAACTGTATTCCAAAGAAAACTGACCTTATCTGAACTCATTTAGGATTTTTACCCCTTATACGAGTTTGATGACTCACTACGTGATGTTGTGACAGCCTGCCCCCGCCACTAGTGGGCTGGGGTGCCTTTTGCACTTTCTGCCCTTGGGGTTTGCTCGCATTTCTTCGTGTAAAATTCATTTAACATAAAATCTATAAAAGTTACCATCCCTGCTAAGTTGTTCAACAAGGTTAATCAACTTCGTAGATAAAGAAGAAGATCTTCTGTATGTGTTCTCATTTGTGAACATTTATGGTGTCACTTTTTTTCATTTAATCCAAACAGTAGTCCTGACCTACACCCCCTTAGTAGAAAACTATCCCTATCACTATCCCTCCATTGTGTATATAGCACACGATTACCCTTGAACGCATCCATTTAATTATCGCATTTATTTCCTCATTTCTACTGGATATCAACTACTTAGAATGATGTATGTACCATGATATTGATTTCCATCTCGATAACTGTTCAGTTCAGTGTCTGGTCTCTATGGGGTGGTAAATTAGAAATCAACTGATGTTCAAACTGTATTTGATCTACTATTGGGAGGCTAAGGTAGGGAAAGTGAGGCCTAAACATGAATACTATAGAATACCCTAAAAAAAATATTAAAAAAAAAAAAAAGACCGAAAAAAAAAAACCACTGACAAAAAAACTGTCAAAAACCGGGCGATCGAACCCCTCGACATCGACCACTTAGCCATATGTAGATTTTCAGATTTTAATTTTAAAACATCTTTAAAATTTTCTGTACGGTGTGCAATATGTCATCTCATTTCTTTCTTCCTTTCCCGTTCCATTTTTCTTCCATCTTTTCTTTAGTTTACCCATCCTCCCCCGAGGTATACGAGAGCGCGCTACTTTTCTTATTAGGTTAATCACATACAAGCATAGCTGCTGCATTAATCTAATTTGATCAATAACTGACCTATAAGCTTACTCTTATTGAATACCTCTTCTCTCTCCCTGCACCTCGCATTGGATTTCGTTTACATAGAAACTCGACCTTGATTGCACTGATAGTAGTCAGCGATATTATACCACTAAATATTCACTCTTTGAGAATCATTTAGTTGCTCTAGCCCCGGATATATAGAGGCAAACGTTCCCCCTCCCCTCCCCTCCCCTTCCCCTGATACTGGTGGAATTCTTTTCTCCTCAGTTTCAGTCAAATACGCCCGAAGCTAGCATCTTTTATTTCATTATTATTTCTTACGGCTTGAATCACAGCCGGAAGAGTATTGCATGGCTACTGCTGGAATTCCAAGAACGCTGTAAAATAATTAGCCGAACAGGAATCTTTGGTTTCGTAGCCTACTTCAACCTCCTACCAAGACAGAAATTCCTTGCGTGAACGAAATCCATACGAGTAATTTTCGAAAGGCTTCCACTGAGGGATTATCTTGTCGGCCACGTTTCTCGGAGATAAAAAAAAGAACGAGTTTAGTTGGCGTCTAAAAAATTATTAAATTGTTCAGTCAGGAATAAAACACTTGAGATAACGAGTGACAACAATAAATGAATTGATTTATTCGTTGATTGGTGAAAAACAAAAATGGCTGGCTGCTGTTAAGTGGTTTTCCAAGGACAGCACTTGAATGACTTCTTTTCTCATATAACAGCATTTCAACGGCTTCCCCAATCAAATCATGCGTATTTTTCAAGTATGTATTGATACTTTAGACCAGTAAAATAGGCTTGTACTTTCTGCCAAAAAGTTTAATTTTAAAATCTTTTTTACGAAAGAGCAAAATTAGCATCCAAAGGGCTTCTACCACGGACATCAAGAGCTTCCTATTCGCATTCATGATACCGCCTGTCCATTATTTCAGTCCAGTCCGTACTTGCAATGAATTGCATGTTTGTCAGTAAACGATTCGAATGCTCTTGACAGCACCTGAATGGAATCCCAAACATTACGAGCTTGTACAACCTATTTCCTATCATTAGTTTTGTGGTTACAAGACAATGTACCGTGTGGCAGAAAACACTTGCCCAATTAACTGTCAATACACATTCTTTCCTTTTTACTTCTTTCGAGAATTAATGTGCTCTTCCGTAACATAAAAATCCCGAGTCTTAAGTGCGTTTTGATAGGATTGAACTTAACTTGGACTCGTGCGACAGGCAACGGAATGAAGCTGTTATTTCTATTTATCCTTTGTTTCTTTCTTTCTTCCTCTCTCTCTCTCTCTCTCTCTCTCTCTCTCTTATTCTCTGTTTCTTTATTTTCTTGCGGTCTGTTTACCAAGAACTGTCAATTTTCTTCACGAATACTGTTCAAATTCAGACCAGAGATTAATTGATTTTTTTTCTTTCGGAGACACCTCTTCACAACCGACCAGGCGACCACCTCCCGTTTCCGATCACATTGTCAGTCACGTGATACCTTCGTAAGTCACATGGTTTCTGTCGTCATGTTGCGCCTGCCACGTTTATAGATCACAGTTTGTTAAAAGACTTTGTGTTTAAGATAAAGGGATTCGTTTCCTGTCCTGCAGATCAGTAAGTCAAGAATGGAGTGTTTTACATTAGACGTGTACGGTGGAAAAGGTTAAGACGTATTAAAACCACAACTATTTGAACGAATCGTGGCGTGTCTCCGCCAGTTTTTATAAGATATCTTGTCTTTAAAAAAACACTTCTTTAAACGTTTTACAGATTGTCCAATAAGAATGAATATGGAATAAAGTATCGGCCGATATTTGTTGCAATATAGAGGAGCTTCTCTTTACTTATTTATTTCTATATATTTACTGCACTGAGTCAGTTAGTCCCCTGGCACTTGAGATATTTAGAAAAGCATCTTTAAAATCCATCACAGTTATTGCCGTAGTATCGGTATTTTGAGTAATATTGTATATGAGTCATGGATGTGCTTAAAAGAGGAAAAAAACTAAAGACCGTCAAAGGTAGGAAAAAGATGATTCACTCAACTACTGTTGGTCAAAAAATGAACTTGAAATAAACAGTTTTCACTCTAACCCTGTATCAGGTGGACGTAAAAGTCCCACTGAAGACGCCGGTGACGACCATCTTCAATGCCTGTGCTCATTAGAATTATTACGTCTTTTTCCTCACGGGAAAACGCTAATAAGATAAAAACTAGAATATACTTCATTAAAGCTAGTTCAAGACAATAGTTAGACACAATAAGGCTGATAGATTCATCACGACCAGACATAAAACCTCGAAGACAGTCCACTCACCTTATGACGTCACATGTTTGGTTTGCAAGGTTGAGTCGTCCTAATCTCGTAATTAAAAAGAAGTGTTTTGATAAGATATAATCGACCTTTTCCTAATGCTGTTATCGATCATCTGATATTTTAATGGTTGTCTGATTTGGAAATTAACCTGTCGACATTTTTCCAGGTTTAATCAAAACCGCACAGATAATCGTGTCACGTGACTGACGTCAGTTCGTCACCTCTCTTGGTAGAAAGTGTATTTTTTTTTCAGGGGTTACTAGACAATAGGTTAGTGCGTGCCTGGTGTTTTTATTAGTTTGTGCAATATATATTAATATGATTTCTATATAAATCGCTTCAGCAAATTTCAATCTTTGGGCTTTCACATAGATTGTAGCTTCGCTCTGTTGTGATTTTCCAACTGAATAAATTTCTAAATTAATTCAAAGCTATTCAAACCGGGTTATATTAAAATATGTACTAACAATACACAGGGATCCCACGGTAGAGTAACACTAAAACTACTTGTTATAGTATGATGAGTACACAGCACACAGGGATCCCGCGGGTTATTATCACCCACTACGAGGATCCTCTTGCTGGATTATGGTTGAGCGGTCAACTGAATACACATGCTCTGAAGCTGGTTACATCATCAGCTTGTAATAGAATCAGACACAGAGTTCCATATATCAGTGAGATTCGTGTGGCACAATTTGAAAATGAGGAGGAAAGGCCGTTTCTTTTTTAAGGCTTTTTTAGGGTGTTTTTGAATCGAATGCCACAAGGTCATTTACAACCTTAAACAGGAGGACTAGCTCTACGATGAGCAAGAGATGGTGAAGTTACTGGTTTGGTATTGGTATCATGGTACACGGGCATGCGACTAGTGTATGATAATAATGATAGCCATGAGACACTGAACAAAGATATTCTACTTGTGTGTTCTCGGTATATTGGTACAACATCAATGACTTATGGAACGACCTTGTCACTAGCTATCTGAGATTCATGATCATATCTGAATCCAAAACTACTACAGACATGCATCAGTCCAAGGTGGCCCCGTCGGATTAAACCAAATACTCCACTTAAACTTTTTTCAAACATTTTCCATTTCAAAGATGTTTCAGATTTTCTCGTGGTAAGAACAACGTGACCGGAAGTCGTTTGAGCAAAATGTCACGTGTTCGTTAAACGAGCACCAATTAGAAACCTTCAATCATCTGAAGTCACGTGACTAGGTGTTGACGTCATTTAGTGACACACAGGATGATGGTGATAATGGAGTGGGAAGGTTGTGGAGACAAGAACTGAATGAAAGAAATAAAAGAAATAAGAATGGAGAGAAAACAAAAAATACATAGAGTGATAATGAAATGATCCTGAAACTGGCCACTTGAAGGTAGAGGTAGTCACGTGGGCATCACTAGCCACGTGTCTGAAGGCTGGTCGACTGTTCAAGTCAATTATTGCTCATCAATATTACATCACTGATCATGGCTGTAGCTAGATGCGGTGAAGATTGTGAACGGAAAATC